TAGAATAAAAGGGAGTAGCACAGCTAAGGAAAAGGGAAAAAAATGGCAGACTACGTTGTTTGGCGACCCCCGTTAAATGGTCGTTCGACCCCAAATGAGGTCCCGACCCACAGGTTGAGAACCACTGTCCTAAAGCCAAACAAATACTGGCTAAATTCATACATGCTGCTGAGCCACAAGCAAATTACTACATAACATGATTTATATGTGAACCAAAGCAATTTTGGCAAAGATCATTCAGCCGCCAATTCTTACTCTTTTTCAATACCTACGGGTAAAAAGTTCAAAAGCAAATTAAAAATGGAAGCCCAGGTCATGATCATTTTTTACAGGTGAGTCAAAGAGCTATATAATATTTCTCCAGGATCTCTAAGTAGGCATAAGGTATAAAACTGAAGTTAGAGCAAATATAATATTTAATTTGTGAAATGTATCAATTCAACTGTTTTAAATTTTAAAATTGAATGTATTTCAATTCATTCATGAAGAATTCTCAGTACTGTATCACTCCATAATATGTTGCAAAAAGGCAACACTTAGTTTTGTTTGTGCAATGCTTCGTTATGAATATAGTGAAACAGTCATTTCCAACTCAGTGCTTCTACTCATACAATTGGGCAAAGCATAATGTTTTAATTCCTGGCCTCTTTGGTGAGTCAGCAAAGTTAATATGGCTCCATCATCCATGAACTTTTAGGGTAGCATACGCCAGGACACAGGATTATTCCAAATTCCTGATTCAGAAGTAACAACCCTTGGAGAGTTACTATGGTTGAATGAATGGTTACTCCTACTCATAGAATGAATTTGTGAGAATGATCTGAAAAGCATGCAGCTGTTGGTCATTAGTAAAAAAATTGCCACACAAAAGTAGCCAATACCTTTCAATCAACCTGAACTGAACACTGAATTAAAATGAAACAATTTAGAGTAAAATTGTTACAGCCACATCCAGAAGACACTGCTTGTATATTTACGACATGCTAGGATTTAGCTGCTGCCCTTCCTACCTCTGCTAGAATACCAAATTACCATAAATAGAATCCTGCATGGAAGAATTCTTTTTTAGTAGCTGAGTTAATTAAAATCATGGCAATTGTTTCCAGTCCAGCCTAGTGTTGGTCCTTGTTTTGCTGCACTTTGCTAACTTGGAAAATAGGCAGTCTTAAAGGTTTGATTTAAAAAAAAAAAAAAAAAACATTACCACAAAAAGCATTCTCGAAAAATCTTGGCAATTCAAAATGGAGAAGGAAAACAAACTTGAAATCCTAAAGTAAAACTTTTGACAAATATTCACAGGAAAAAAAATCAATCCCAGAAAACTGTATACTCTACAATATGATCCTAAGTCAGTTTGATACAAAAGTGAATGCATTATGAACTCCACCCAATGTTGCTCTGCCTGGTCTAAAAATATCAGGCAATGCTGTCATCCTGTGCTATCCCATAATTTTGGCAACAGTAGGAACAGCCAGTTTCCAATTATCTTTCTTGAATCTTATGAACGTAATGGCCTTCAGAAAAGCACAGAGAAAATCTCAAATAACGGAAAGCCTGTAGTATATTATGCCCACAAAATTGTTTACCAACTTATCCCTGGCTCTTGATGAGCGGTTTTTCAGGACCATGTACTGTATAATCCCATCCCTAAATTCTTATTGCTTCTCTGGAATGAAAAGGGTAAAAAAAAAACCCTGGTGTTTCTGAAAAGCAGTAGAAGAGAAGGCTGACTTTATCTTTACACATACAACTGTGTGACCAATGAGAGAAAATTTTAGCAAACCTGTATATTCTAAGGAGAGGTTTGGGACAAGCATAAATAATGGCCAGCTAATGAACCAAGTCACACTTACAAAATAGAATATAAAATATAATAATTGGTTCACCTCTTTCGGTGTTTTTCTCCAGCACTGACATGTATGCTTTTGAATGAACGTTGCAAATCATGCTACAACTGATGCTACAATACGAGATAATCAACATTATTGTGGTTTTCCTAAATGGCTTTATATTACAACCACAATATTTTTTGCTTTACTCTTCGCTTTACTGTAAATGTACAGATTTAAGTTATCTTCATAAATTATAAATATGTATTATGTACTAATGTTCATGCATCTTGGTTTTAGTTTTGAAGAATAAATAGTGGCTCCATTTGTTTATTCTGCTAAAAATCCTGTTGGGAGGGAGAGAGGGAGGGAGGGAGGGAGGGAGGGAGGGAGGGAAGGAAGGAAGGAAGGAAGGAAGGAAGGAAGGAAGGAAGGAAGGAAGGAAGGAAGGAAGGAAGGAAGGAAGGAAGGCAGGCAGGCAGGCAGGCAGGCAGGCAGGCAGACAGGCAGGCAGGCTAACTCTAAGCCAAGAGGTAAACTATATGCATTTTTCTTTTCTGGTACCTCCTTCTACTTTCATGCTGTGAAAAATGAAGTGACAAAAGTATTTTTGCCAACAGCATTGCTTACTGGAGGAAATGAAATATGAGGATTTTTGCCAGTCAAAATGCTGCTTAAATCTAAGCAGCAGAAGTCAATCTAATGCTTAGTCTTCTTAAAAATGTACCTGAGCATTCTTTGATAGGAATTTGATAATCATGGCTGCATCCTCCCTTAGCATTTTTGGCCAATGATTACAGTATTAAACTGCACGCCACAGGGAATTTGTAGTCCTCTTAAAAATCATACCATATATGATCAAGTACTATGCTACTTACAATATTTCAGACATTTTTGTCAAACCCAAATTGACCCCAAATCTAAGCCACATCTTATGTAAAAATGTCAGCCAGCTTTTATTTGGAATACAAATAACATCTTCAGAGTACCCTTAAATTGGATAAATAATATTGCCATGGGGAATCCCCAAGATTTTATTAAGAACCTCTACAATTACTTTCTTTTTTTCATAATCATAGAAATCAATTTCCTCTCCCAATATCTTGATTTGAAGACTTGCTTGCTTATTTTAAAGCATTCAAAGCATTATTCCAAAGTAAAAGAGTCACATAAGCTTGTCTCAGGATACTAAGTTCTTATCTGGGTGGAAAAGTAACTTTGGAAAGCACTTTGGCAAGAAAAACAATGTGCAGTGTCTGGTTTGATTCCCAGATGGTAGTTGTTTACAGCATCTCTGCTTTTGACAGGAAAAAATAAATGAATGATAACATACGTGGTAAGAGCTTCATTAGACGCTATGATGAGATCGCTAGCATATCAGATTGGACAATGTGAGTCTCTCTGTGAATTTATTTCAGAAACTATTTTAGTGATAGACCTGTAGCCATAACTTTATCTGGCTTCTTTCTTAATTCACTTTTCCCTTCAGGCCTTTTCCCACTTGCACCTAACAATGATACAACCATGCCTTGGCAATATCTTTTTTCTACTGTCCCCTGAGGATGATTTTGCTTTTCTCTCATTGGCAGCCCTAAACCTTAGCTCAGGGGGTCTTCAAACTTGGCCCTTTTATGACTGGTATGACTTCAACTCCCAGAATTCCTCAGCCAGTGTGCCTGGCTGAGGAATTCTGGGAGTTGAAGTCCACCAGTCATAAAAGGGCCAAGTTTGAAGACCCCTGGCCAAGAGCATCCAGCAGCAGCCACAATGTGTATGTAACACTTGTCCTGTTTTGCCACCATTTCTATCAGGGATGAAGTGAGATGACCACTAGTGGATGGGGTTAGAGAAGTTCTCATTGGTTGTTTCAGGCTAATATGGGCATATTCCTCCCCTCCATCCCTGGTCAGCCTTGTCTGCCGCCATTCTGCTTTGTCTGCCTTAAGCAGAGTGTTGTGCTGGTGGTTTAGCAGTTTGCAAAAGCAACAGACTCTTTAGCCAGCAGTGCTGTTAGTACTTTAATTCTATGACCCTTACCAGTTTAGCACAAGACTGAGACAGAAAAACAGTGGAATGAGTGACCAACCCTTCCTCATTGCCTCCCTAACTGAGCATGAAGTCATCGTTTATTATCTATATAAAGAAAGCAGAGGAGGAGAAGGGGAAAGAAATCTTAAACGAAAGAGCAGCAGTTCATTATCCTTTGCAATTATGATATTTTAAAAAAAAATAAACCTATTCAGCTTAAGTTACAAGAGAATGGTGTGTTAAGAGGAATGGCACAGGAAGGAGCTTAAAAAGATGGACTGAGTTCTGCAGCTAGACCTGCCCACTTCTGTTCTGGCGCTGTGGCTGTCAGATAGTGTACCCAATGGTTGGCGATACACAGAAGAGAAAGGATAGCAAAGCCAGAGGGATCAGCTAATCTTCTTGCTTATCATGCACTCCACATGGAAAATCAGGACTAAACCGTCCAGCAGTGCATCAAAACAAGACAGTTTAGATTACAGGGGTTCTCAACCTTGGTAACTTTAAGACTTGTGGACTTCAACTCCCAGAATTCTGGGAGTTGAAGTCCACAAGTCTTAAAGTTGCCAAGGTTGAGAACCCCTGGTTTAGAAGCAGAATAAAGGTTGGCAATGTGAACAGTAAATGTTGTTCTAGTATAGTGGTTTGGTTTGTCTGTTTGTTTACCAACTTAAGGATGGGTTGATAGCACTTTAGTGCAATAGTTTACCCCATAATGATGTGAGTTGGAACTAACGCCACACAAACAAAATCCCATGCGGTAATTCTCTCTCTCCCCCCCCCCGGAAATTATAAAACAATCACTAAGTGGGAGGAGCCACGAAGAAAACAGTTTTCTGAAAAGTTTCCACGTGCATCAGGAGCTGAGAGTGGGTAGGGTTTGGGAGTAAACTACATCTCTCAATATAGTATGCCTATAAAACACAACGGAGAAGATTGAAATTAAATCAGCCTTTAGTTATTTCTATAGGAAACTCTTTTTATCATATACAATTATATGCTGCATATGTTGTATATGGTGTAATCTAACCCTTAGTTGGGTTCGGATGTTTGCTGTAAAAGCTGTACTTGTCTTCTCTTTAAAAGCTATATTTACATATTGTCAAGTATAGTACTGAATGCAACAGACTAAACATTGCTAACCTGCTGTGCCTATTTTCCCCTCTTTGCATAAATCCTTCAGCCTGGAACCCAACTCTGTGATGAAGCTTGCTTAGCACCAGTGAAGTTTCCCACATTCAGTGTAACAACGTTCTGGGCTGAGATGAGGGAATCAAAATTAAAATCCAATCCATCTGCATCCATGAGTTCACTGCGGATAATGGACTCCATGTCGCATTCCAAGCTCCCGTTGAAAATATCCAGATCCAAATCACTGGGGAATTTATCGTGCCCCATGACTGGAAGGCTCACACTGTTGGAATACAAAGAAGAACCCGATAGGCAGTCAGAAAGTGATTGCATAGACTGGTTGGCAGGTGGCTGTTGCTGGTGTTTTGCTGATCCAATGTTGGTGTCACTTAAGCCCATAGTACCGGCAGAATTTGACAAGGCACGGCTGCCACTGAGAGAGGAATTCTGGGATTGATGCTGGTGGTGGAGCAGATTCTGATTGGTCAAACTGCTCTGACTTGGTTGAGCAGCAAATGACATCATTGGATCGTTCCGAAGCATAATATTCCTGCGTGCGTTTTGGACAGACACAGCAGTGCTAGCTTGTGACATGAGCGGATCAGACTGAGTCATCATGACATCACTGTGGCTATGTGAATCTGACGCCAGCAGATCCTGCAGAGTTTGGTTATTGTAGTGCGAAATGGAAGAAAATGTAGCTTGCTTGTTCTCTTGGATGGTTTGCATGGGAGACTGACGGAGAGAATTCAGCGATGATGGTCCAAACACAGCATTGTTGAAACTACTGGATGGAGAACCAAGCCCTGAACCTTTGGAGCCATATGGAAAGCTTGAGCTTCTCTGCATGAGTCCTCCTGTGGGTGACTGCTGGGAAGAAGGAAGGGTTATATTGTCCAGGAGATCATCCATAAGGTTATCTGTCAAGCCATCATTCAAGTTCATCGTGCCTGCCATGTCAGTCAACCTAGGCAGCTCAACATTACAGGGCTTGCTCACTGACGGGGACATGCTGGGTGAGCTACTGTACAACATGGGAGAAAGTGGAGCATCGTCGTCCTGCACCTCATCTTGCTCAGTACTTGCCAATATTGGGGACAAGCGGCCACTTATTGTACTGGCATTCGAGTTGGTACGAGACCGGAAATCTGTCCATGCATCCAGTTCGTCACTGCTACGGGAGGTTGGGCTACCAGGCCACTTGGACAGCTGGGTGGGGCTGTCATCACTTGTCTCCTGTGCAACTTGAAGGGCTGCTTTTTTCTTAGCTGCTCGTCCTCGGCTCTTTGTGTATTTGTTGCTGTTGTCCATTGATACAGCACGTCTGCGGGGTGCTTTCCCTCCTTTCCCACCATCGGGGTTGATCATCCACCACGAGCTTTTCCCAGTTCCTTCATTCTGTACCCTGATGAATCGACTGTGAAGGGACAAGTTGTGTCTGATTGAGTTCTGCAAAGACAACACACAAAATCCCTCAAATTTAGAATGTGTCAAGTAAATACTGTTATTCAATATAATACTTAAGACATAGAAAACATAAAGGGGAAAAAAACTTCCATTATTGCTATTACTTCTCTAGTTTTTAATAGGTTGTTCAGACACTAGAGTAAACGTAGCATTCAGTACAGGAATCATTATAAAATTCAAAGTATTTCTGCATGGTATGAATATAACGAATATACAAATAAGCCCTTTCCTGAGAAAGAGAATTTAGCACTGATGCTACTGTTGTAAGCACATAGCTTTGGTGATTTAGTGCAGTTTTCTAAACAAATTCTCTTAAATTATGTTCAACAGCTATAAGAGAATCTCTATCTTTGATTTTAAAAGCCTCCCATTAAACTAGTTGCCAAAGTAATCAGACGCATAGAAAATCAGGATAATTAACATAGATATTCTAGGATCCTAAGCACTTATAGTCAAGAACCAGTTCTACGACTCACTTGTTTCTAAATCATAGTGTACAAACTGAAAGTACAAAGCAAAACCTGTTTGACATGTTGTAAGCTAATGATCTGCTGTAAATAGCAACAACTACGTTTATTAGTTTTTTTTTTTCTCATCTTCTCTTTTCCTTTAGTGGCATCTGAGCAAGCATCTAGCCTGAACCACTGCTGTAAGTTTGCAAAGAGAAAAAACAATTATATATCGCACAGTCACCAACTGTGTGGTTTTTACTAGTGGATATGAAAAAGTCGAGCAAACCAAATTCTAGTCAATTGCCATAAGAAATGCAAGAAATCAAAAGACCACTGACAGGAGAAAACCCATGGCCCCAAAATCAGCATGCCATTTAGGGTCATGCTAGAATGAACTGATGGTTGCAAGAGACATGTGCTGCTAGTGTAAAAGCTATTTCCAGCTATTCCATTGAGATGTACTTTAGGTTATTAGGACTAAAAAAAAGTGGAGGGGAAGGACTTCCAGATATGGCTTTTATTGTCAAAACATCAAACCACAGTCTCAGAATTTTTCAGAGAACTGACTGAAAGATTTCTTCCAATAATAAACCTCCTGCACATTCCCCCCATTTCTTCTAGATATTGTAATTAGAAAAAAATTCAGAAAAAAATAAAGGGAAAGGCAGAATAAGTTGGGAAAGGTGGCAAAGATGGCAAAGGCAGAGTTTCTTGTGGTTGTTACTGCTACAACCCTTTGTCTGGATACATTAAAAAAAAAGGTGAGACTGGTAGGATTACAGCCTATACCAGTGATGGTGAACCTTTTAGAGACCAAGTGCCCAAACTGCAACCCAAAACCCACTTATGTATCGTCGGGTGCCAGGTGGGCATGGCCCATTAGGTGGACATGGCCCACTGGGTGGGCGTGGCTGTGGTGGTCAAAACAGATCGGGTGGGCGTGGCCAGGGTGGGCATGGCCACCTCGATGTTGCTCATGGGGAGGGACGCCTGTGGGGTGGGGCAGGGTTGGGGGAGATCCAGGGGGGTCACTGGCAGGTGGGATGGTGGGCAGGAGGCTCGTCCTGTGGGGTGAGGCGAGGTGAGGCAGGGGGCAGGGCAGGAGTGCCATTGCCGCAGGGCAAGGCAAGGTGAGGCAAGGGCTGGGCGGCTGCTGCCTGAAACCATCGGCCCCCACACACAGTAAGTGCATGGGGGCCAACTGTGTCCATCAGCAGCCACAGGCTGCCGGTCCCTCGGTTTTGGCGCAATGTGGCTGTTTGCTGCCGGCCGCGGCCATTTGCTGTGTCGTGCGTCGTACCCAATGCCACTACCATGAGGCCATGGAACAAGCCGGACGGAAGTAAGGAACTGGTATCCCGGTTTCTTACCGCCGCCCGGCTTGTTCCGCGGCCTCATGGCAGTGGCATTGGGCAGGAGGCGGCAAACGGCTGGTTTCAGTGCGACGTGACTGTTTGCCGCGGCTGCAGCCATTTGCCACCTTGTGCATCGCACCCACCCATCACAAATCTTTCCAGAAGTTCACCACAAAGGATGCCCGGCATGAAGGATGCCAGCACAACTCCTAGGAGCCAGAAGGGCACCTCATGGCTGCGGCATTGGGCAGGAGGCCTTTTTCGGTATGACATGGCTGTTTGCTCTTTCGAGTACTGTGCCCAATGCTGCTGCAATGCGGCTCAGCTGAAAGCGGCCATGGAACACGTGGGGCAGGTTTCCCCCTCACCTGTCCATTCAGCTACAGCTTTGGTGGCTCTGTAGGCAGAGCTGTGAAGTTCTCTTCTCTGTCAGAGCCACCAAAGCAGAAGGTGGAGCGCCAGAGGCTCAGGGAGGAAGGCGCTGAAGTGGGTGGTCAGGCCATTGGCAAAAGCAATGCGTGTGAGTGGAAAGGAGCCTCGGAACAAGTGGGGCAAGTAAGGAAGAAAATCCACACTCCCCCAGAAATTGCCTTTCTTTCCTTACCTGACTTCCAGCCCCGTGCCGTTTCTCCTTCGCAATCCGCTGCCGCGTGCAAGGAAACAAAGGAAGTTTTTTGGGGGGGATAAAAGGTCAATCAATTCCAACTTCGCAATCTTTCACGAGAAGTTGGAATTGATTGATTGACCTTTCCCCCCCAAAAAAAACCTTCCTTTATTTCCTTGCCGGTGGTGGATTGCGAAGGAGAAACAGCACAGGGCTGGGAGTCAGGTAAGAAAAGAAAGGCGATTTCGGGGGGGGGGGAAAGGATTTCTTTCCTTACCTGCCCCACTTGTTCCGAGGCCGCTTTCCGCTCAGATGTGTTGCTCTTGCGAATGGCCCGACCGCCCACTTCAGCGCCCCCCTCCCTGAGCCTCCGGCACTCCACCTGCTGCTTTGGTCAGCCTGCCAGCCCCTACCTTAACACCCTGCCCACCGCCGCCCAGCAGGGTCACCCCGGGGCTGCAGGGCCTGGCCTGGCATGGGAAGGGCACGCGCCCCACCCTTCCGCCACCATGCAGGGTAAGGTTGCCCCCACCCAGATGCCCTCGCCTCCCCCAAGCATTTTTTTACTAACCTGCCTTTCAGCTGCATTCCGTTTTTCCATTTGCTTCTCAGCCTTCGTCGCATGTTTGTGGGACTATCGGTTAAAAAAAAAAAGTTCCATCAGACTTTCTAACTTCTTGAGATCTCGCAAGAAGTTAAAAGTCTGATGGAACTTTTTTTTTTTTTACCAATAGTCCCACAAACATGCGGCGAAGGCTGAGAAGTGAATGGAGAAATGGAATGCAGCTGAAAGGCAGGTTAGTAAAAAAAAAATGCTTGGGGAGGTGGGGCAGGGGTGACAACCTTACCCTGCATGGGTATTGATGCAGGTTGCTCATGGATGGGACTGAAGGCCTAGGACTGGGGCGATGGCTCTGCATGCCGCCTGTGGCACATGTGCCATAGGTTCATCACCACGGGCCTATACCTACAACCTATACCTCAAATATAGTCCAATTGCGCAAAGCAAAGCTCGTTCTTTACAAAGTGCACAGAAATTGGAAAAGGCTCTCTTTTCAGATGGGTAAAGGAGCCGTGTCATTTGCAAGTCCTGGATGATTGCTTCCGAAGTTAGTCCTTGTTACTTTAACAATTAAAATGAGCAGCTTTGTATGTGCATGTCAAAACCTTAAAGTATTTTGGAGATAAGAACCTTGGGGAAACCACAATATGACCCAGTCCGTTTAAATGTGAGGAGGTACTTAAAAACCACTGGCAGATGTGGACCATCTCAATGTGGAAAAGTGAAATGCTTTTGAAAATATGTTTTGAAAACAGAATAGTAAGAATTCACATATTGTTCGTTTTGTAAAACAAAGAAACAAATACTATTTTATAATGTACAATGGGGATTGTCATTCAAGCTCAGTGATTCACATTGGCATCTCTACGTCTGACATAAAGAAGCAGGATGACATTAAGCTAATGAAAAACATCTGGGGTGTGCAAAGACATGCAGTCTACGTGCTTTTTATTCATTGTTTAAGTACATAAAAATGTTTTGTCTAAGGCCAACTCCAGTAAAGAAAAAAATAGTAATAAAATTCAAAGCCAGGGTTTTTTCTCTTAATCACAGCAGATATATACTGTTGTATGCTGCCTAGAATCATTTTTTCATAAGATGGGCAGCCACATAAATTTGACAAACAAACAAATAAATAAAATAAACTATCCCTTTAAGCAAATATAAATACATACCGAATGCCACTCTCCCTTTGTAAGTATAAATAAAGTAAAGGGTTATGAAGTGTTTTTTCACTTTGCCAGTTTATGGCTTTGATTCCAAGCTCTGCAAATACTCTAATGGGTGCATTCAGATTTTCTATGAGTGAGCTTTTTTTTTTTAACTAGAAGGATTATAGCCCTATTGTGTACCTCCATCTATGTATAAGCTCACAAAACCTTTCAGATGTCTGTAGTAGGTTATAATAATGAAACAATAAAAGTAATAACAATCATCTGTGCGTTGTATCAGAGCGATTTACACTGCACAGAACAGAGACTTTGATGAAAATTTTATACAATTTACTGAATTTTGGAGCATTAATATAACTGTGTGTCAAAGTGTCAGGCTTTTACCCAACAAATATTCAAACTAAGACACACAGTTCAAATGCATTTAGCATGAGTAACAAAAAGCAAGCTATTACCAACCGTAAGATTTGAACTTTACCTAAAGCCAACCCTCTATCTATCAAATCCTGTGTTTTGGTAATGGGTGGAGAACTACTTTTTCTCAGTGGAGAAGAAAGTTAACACCTTATAGTAATAGACCAGTCTAACTTTAGTAGCTTTGATTACGGTTTTGTCCAATTTCTTCCTCACACAAAAGTAGCTAGCGGTAAAAACATTTCACATTCATTTTCTTACTTCACAGTAATTGTTACTTAAGTTGTTTCTTGCTGATGGGCAATATAGTAGGTGATTGTTGAACGAATTAATTTCTAATGTACATTGCCTTCCCCTGCATTTATAACTACTGAAAAACTACTGAGTCAATCTGAAAGTTCCCTTTCAAGCTAAATATCGCCT